GTAGTTTTGATTTGTATTTCTCTGATAATGAATGACTTTTTAAAAAAGCCGTTCTATCTCTGCCTTTTGCTCCTTTCTCTGGAAAATTGCTCCTGAAAACGAATATCTATAGCTTTCCGGGAAAACAGCTCTTCCCCTGATCATGGTCATGGTTACCAGAATTTCCTCCAAAAGTTTCTTTCACAACATATGCCTCCCTGGGGTCAATAATCCTCAAGGTTCCAAAAACTTCTAAATGTTTTCACTGCAGACATCATCTCAGCACCTAGTTTTTCCTGTGTGTACCATCTCTTAATCATCTGACCTTCCGACCAGTCTCACAACTGACAGAAGCTGGCAGCCATGCAATCATCTCCTCTGATCATTTTCCTTTCTTTTTTAAGAAAAAGGATGGCTTCCTAGGTGGCTCAGTGGTAAAGAATCCGCCTGTCAATGCAGGAGATGCTGGCGATGCGGGTTTGATCCCTGGGTCAGGAAGATCTGCTGGAGATGGGAATGGCAACTCACTTCAGTATTCTTGCCTGGAGAATCCCATGGACAGAGAAGCCTGGAGGGTTACAGTCGGGAGGTGGGGAGGGTCACCAAGAGTTGGACGTGCCTTAGTGACTAAGCACACAGCACACACAAGCAGAAAATGAGTAGCAAGGAAAAGAAGTGGAATTTAGTGCAGTTTTTCACTGAGAAGTCACACACAAGCCAGTCTTGGGATGATGGCTACCTGAAGATCAAATAACAATAAAGTTTGGAAGGTGAAATTTCAGATTATTTGGCAGTAGCTGTGGAGTCCCAGTTTTAATGATAGCTCATTGAAATTGCTCTTTTAACCACTCAGCTGAATCTTCATATTTGGGCCTTTGTCTTTGAAAAGAGGAAATTCTGAGATTATCTGATGATGTGAATCTATTTATCTTCTTCTTCCAGGATGAGAAAGAACAATTGACTAAAGACATCATTCCTATATCCAGGGTCCTATAAGGCAAAAACTCACAGTCACCATGTTTTGATGCCAATTGAAGCTTTTGCAGCAGTTTGAGCAGGAGTCATTCATACTAGGCATTTTGCTCAGAAAATACCTGTACCAAGGAATGGTAATATCCTTTGTGGTCACATGTTACAGGATAATCCTATGTGAAGTAAGTTTAGGTGTGAGTCACATTTTTTTAAAAATGCAGATTCTTGGTATATTCCTATCCATGGGCACTTGGTCTACATGATGGAAGGGACTTCTCTAGTACTTGACTGTTAGGAAATCCATAAGATACGCTTAATTTTAGAATTGGTCTCTCTTTTTAATTAAGTCTGTTCATCATTTATCAAGGGGTCAGGAAGATCCCCTGGAAAAGAAAATGGCAACCTACTCCAGTATTCTTGCCTAAAAAATCCCATGGACAGAGGATCCTGGCAGGCTCCAGTCCATGGGGTTGCAAAAGAGTCAGACACAACTTAGTGACTAAAATATCATGTCATGTATAAAACATATAACAAACAAGGACCTAACATACAGCACGGGGACCTCTACTAATACTCTGTAATGGCTTACATGGGAAAAGAATCTATAAACAGTGAATATATGCGTAACTGATTCACTTTGCTTTACAGCAGAAAGCAAACAACATTATAAATGAACTATACTCCAAAAAAAAATTTAAAAAAGAAAATATCAGTTCCAGGTCCCATGGCTATAAATTTAATTTGGGGATGGGACCCCAGGGTAGCTGCATTTTTAGAAGGCTCACAGATAGTGAAGGACAGGGAAGCCTGGCCTGCTGCAGTCCATGGGGTTGCAAAGAGCGGGACACCACTGAGGTGTTTCTAATGTAGCCAAACTTGGGAGGCCGCCTACCCTACACGTTTGTTGGTCTGCGTTATCTGTGTCTGCTACGTCACCACCCTAGCTCAGGGGTCCAGGGAGGGTCACTCAAATTCGGAGTGCTGCGTACAGAAAAGCCTGAGTCTGAGCTCAGGCTTGCATATTTTTCAATTTAGACTTGCATATTTCTACTCAGTGCCTCCCGTGCTAAGCACTTTGCGAATATGTTCGCCTGGGGCTCAACCAGGTGAAGAGATGTTCAAGTTTCTGGTTTCGTTTGTTGCGATTCCCGACGCGTCCGCAGAGCCTAGAACAGTGTTTGGTACGTAGCAGGCGAACCGCATTATGCGACACTTAGTGAATTCCAGGTAATCCTGCCTCCTTTTGAATCGTAACAACGAATCAGTGAAACGGCTTTCTATCTCTGACTTCTTGGGCCGAGAGCTCCGACACCATCGGATCCGTGCCTGGAGATGACACCTAGCCGCCGGGAACCTCCCCGATTCTGTCCCACCGTTCGGAGGCCGGAGATGTGCCCTAATAAGGTTCAGCTCGGTAGCGGCCGGGATTAACCCGGAGTCACACGAGTGGGCGTGTCCTGCCGCTCGCCTGGCGCAGCCTCAGAGGAGAACTCTTCTCCCCGGCCCCACCCTATTCTCTCCCGGAGGGCTGGGCGAAGGGCAGGCTGGGAGAGGAGGCGAGTGGCGCCTGCGCGCGTGCGCGGTAGCGAGCTCACGGGCCGGTTGGCTGTGGCCGGCAGGGCCTCAGCGATTTGAGGGAAAATGCAGGTGAGCAAGCCGGGGGTGGGGCAGGGGGCTCGATGCCTAGAGGCTGCAACCGCTCGTTTTGCCCGGCTCGGTCCATGCGGGCGGCTGCCTGTCCCTGCCGGGCCCGTGGGAAGTGCCGGGCGCCTCAGGCTCGGGGTGGCCACGCGAGTCGAGGCTGGCGCAAGCGCAGTGCGGACGGGCGGGCGTGGTCCCGCGGGCCCGCGGGCTGGGCGTGCCCGCTCCCCTCCGTGTGTCCCAGCCCCGAATCTCGGCTTTGACTGTAGTTCTCCGTGAGGTCGGCTACCCTGGGCCTGTGAAGGCCTCTCCGGATCTTACCTGACAGAGTTGCTTCCTCCTTCTTAACTCTTAGCGAACACCTAAACAGGTGTGTTATGAACCCCCTTCACGGATGCGGAAGCTGAGGCTCGGACAATTGGAGGGTCCTGCCCTGAGGGGATCGCTTAACATAACCCGTGTTCTTGACCCTGCCTAGAGCTGAGTGAGCGGTTACAGCATCCTTCCCTCTCTGCCTCCCAGTGTTGGTGTACAGGTGGAGATGCGCCCCCAGTGGACCCTGGAGTCCAGCCTGAGGGTCCCGCTGCCCAGTTATTAATACTTTCCCTTTTAAAATGGATAAAACCAAAGCCCTCGGTTTTGTTCTTTATTGTATCAGGAATTTACTAATGGAACTTGACTAAAAACCCATGGAAAAGTGAAAAAAAGACATCGAGGACATGGATGCTTGTGTGAGAAAATCTCTGATTCAGTTTTGTCACTGTTAAAGGACCCTCCTCCAGAGGTCACTCTGCTGTCTCCTAGATCTCCCTGTGGTCCGGAATCCTGATGAACTCATCTCTGTCTCAGTGGCAGAAGGGAAATGGAGTTAGTGTGGGTTTGACTGGGGTTGAGAGGTTTGTTGCTGTTCAGTCTCTCAGATGTTTCAGACTCTTTGCAACCCCATGGACTGCAGCAGGCTAGGCTCCCCAGTCCTTCACCATCTTCTGGAGGTTGCTCAAACTCATGTCCATTGAGTCTATGCCATCCAGCTATCTCATCCTCTATTGCCCCCTTCTCCTCCTGCCTTCAGTCTTTCCCAGCATCAGGGTCTTTTTCAGTGAGTGGGCTCTTCACATCAGGTGGCCAAAGGACTGAAGCTTCAGCATCAGTCCTTCCAATGAATATTCAGGGCTGGAGAGGATGATCATCTCCAAATGCAATGTATCTGATGAAGGGGAAACTCAGGGCTGCCCTGGCCTCCTTTGTGTTCTCTGTCCTTCAAGCCCCTGCTCAAAAATGTCGTGTCTTAAGAGGCCTTCCTGACCACCCTGTGGAACGGGTTCTGTTTGTTTCTGTTTGAGATATTTCAGCAGGACTGGCCAGGGAACTGGGGGTAGAGACTGGTTATCCCAGTGCCCTTTCGACAGCTTCCTGGTTTCACATTCCAGACCTGCCAAGACATGCCAAACCAGGGTTTGGGCAGCTGTGTTCTGAAGCTAGGAGCCCACCTTGGCATTTCTTTTTCTGATAGTTGATCCTGGTAAGTTTGACTTGTTCCAGCCTGGGAGTGTCTTCCTTAACACCATGGCTCTCCCAAGTTTGTGAGGATTAACTAGGTATGTATAGGTGAAGAACTTTGTGGTGTCCCCAGCATGTAGGACTCAGTAAGCATCAGCTATTGTGAACTTCTCCATGGCATCTCAGCTCTTGCTCTTAGCCTTGGCCTTTAGGGAATCAGTCAGGCTCTCTCCCTTCTGATTGTCTTGCAGCCACTCAGGGCTTTGGAATACTCGGTATCTTGTACTCGGACCCTTTGCCCAAGCTGGTCCTTCTGCCTGGAAAGTAATTTCCTATATTTTCACTCCTCTGTTTGGTTCCTTCTCACCCTCCAGTTACATTTAAATGTCAGCTCTTCTAAGAGAATGTCTTTGCCCATCCTGTGGACTGCATGCCCCCTGGAAGTCTAGCTCAGCAGCCTGGTTATTGAATTTGCCATAACATATAATCTAGCTCTTTGTATATTTAATTATTCATTGCCTATTTCTTTCTCTCACCTGTAAAACTGGTGACTTTGGCATTCATTATGCTTCCCTACCATCTAGTACAATCATTTACATATAGTAGGTACTTAATAAATATCTGTTGAAGAAAGCACTCTGAGTCATTAATGAAAATTGACCGGAAGCCAGGTCAGAGCCTTGGTGTCAGCATAGATGTCAGTCTGGACATCATAGCCTGATTTTTACCCTAACTCAGGAAGATTGGAACACAAGTTGTGTGTCTTTTGGCAGATTCCCAGAAATAGACCTCAGAATAATTTGGTGTGAATTCCCCTTCTTACCACTTTCCCATTTGAACCCTTGCCCAACATGGCGCCCTCCACAGTGGACTTGGCCCTCACGGTACCCTTGGTCCATCTGCTCTAGGACCCCAATGCAGACACCGAGTGGAATGACATCTTACGCAAAAAAGGCATCTTGCCCTCAAAGGAAGATTTGAAAGATCTGGAGAAGGAGGCAGAAGAAGAGGAGCAGCGGATCCTCCAGCAGTCCATTGGTGAGCTTACCTGTATTTGTGATTCTGTGTCTCTCTGCTTAGGAAACACTTGGCAAGCCTCTTAACTGCTTCAGTAGAAGGATCCTCTGAGCGAGAGTTGGGAGCAGGGATTGAAGTGCTGGGCTGGATACTGCCTCTGGGCCCTCCAGCAGGGTATCTCTGGCTTCATCTTCCTGGGCCATGGAACTGGGGGCACTTCAGAGGCTCTCTCCATTTCCACACTTTCTTGTCTATGTCGGATCAGACACTGGAGAAAATATTTCTGAGTCTCCACTTTCTGGTCAGTGATTCACTTTGGTTAATGTCATGGAAATCTGCCTAGAGGTTTTTACTGTTTGTAGTCCCCTGAGCATATGCTTTATCTTTGTGGTTTGATTGAGAATATTAAAATAGCTTGATTTGGGGAAACATAAGATGCTTGTAGTGTATGCGGTCTGAGGTCTATCTCACATGTAGGTATACCACTTGAATTGGAATCCCTCATGGTGCTTGTCAAAAAAACAAGCAAACAAACAAAACACAACAACACACAGTCCCTCCTGAATCAGAATCTCTGGGGGTAAGGCCCAGGAATGTCCATGTTAAGCCAGTGCCTCAGAGAGTTTCTGATTCACGCTAAAGTTTGAGAACCGTGGATCACAGGGGCTAGGACTTCTGTCCCGTGTTGACATGTTAGGGCTGATTTAGAGGAGGATTTATGACACAGTGTTTATCTAGCTAATGTAATAAATTTTGTCCAGTTACGGAAGGACTGCTGTGTGCCATGTGTTTTCTAGGCACTGGGGCTTTAGCTGTGCATGGGCCAGCCAAAACACCCTGTCCTCTTGAGCTTACGTTCTAAGGGAGGAGACAGACAGCAAATGATACCTGAGTGAAATATAGGAAAATAAGGCAGGAAGGGGTTGCAGGAGAAAGTGAAAGTCACTTAGTCATGTCTAACTCTTTGTGACCCCATGGACTGGGGTCTGGCAGGCTCCTCTGTCCTTGGAATTCTCCAGGCAAAATACTGGAGTGCATAGCCATTCCCTTCTCCAGAGGATCTTCCCAACCCAGAGATCAAATCCAGGTCTTCCTCATTGCAAGTGGCTTCTTTACCATCTGAGCCATATAAGCGCATAAGGTCGGAGGAGGGGTGGGTGTAATTCTAGAGCGTCAGAGAGGGCCTCACTGGGAGTGACATTTGAGCAGACCTGAGGGAGGTGAATGAGCAAGTGGGAAGCACGTTGGAGGCTCTGCCAGGAGGCCAGTGGGACTGGGAGACAGAAGCAGGAGGTTCAGAGGGACAACCAGGGGTCAGACATTTAGGACCTTGTAGCTTCTAGTGTGGACCTTGGCTTCGATGTCTGATCAGGTGGACCTCACTGGAGGTTTGAACAGAGGAGGGATGTCCTCTGTGTTGACAGCACCTTCCTGTTGTTGTCTTACTGCGTGCGGACTGTGGGGGCAGGGCAGGAAGTGGGGAGACCAGTTGAAACGACTGCAGTGGTACCCTTGGCAAGTGATGCCATTGGCTTGGACCAGAGTGGTGGGTGGAAGTGGCCAGATCTGGGTGTATTTTGAAGGTAGGGTCGGCAGGGTTTGCTTATAGATCCTGTGATGGGTGTAAGAGCAAGTAAGGCAAAGATGACTGCCAGGCTCTGGGTTTGAGTGGCCAGAAAGATGGAGTCACCACCTGAGGTGAGGAAGGCTTGGGCAGGAGCAGGTTTGGAGGTGAAGATCAGGAGCTCAATTTAGGACCTAGTCACTTTGAGGTTTCTTATTAGACAAATACAGATGGTAGGTGAGCAGTTGGGAATGCTTTCTAAATCAGAAATAAGGGCTAGAGGCCTACATTTGGGAGTTGTCAGCATGTCGGTGGGTTTTAAAGCTGTGAGATGCAGTCACCAAGGGAGCGGGGATAGGTGAGGAAGGAAAGGAGTCCAGTCAACAGAGGGCCCAGGGGAGGGGCTCCCAGGAGGGAGGAGGAAAAGAGGCCAGAGGAAGATGGACTTTGACAGAGGAGGCAGTGATGGATTAGGCCAAATATACTCATCAGTTGAGAAAAGACGTCATTACTGACTTTGGTAAGAGCAGGTTTGGGTCATGACAGAGTGGGGTCAGGGGACAAAAACCTGACTGGATGTCAAGAAGCAAGAGTCTTTATGGCAATATAAACAAAATACAGATTTTTACAGCCATTGATAAAAATAGAAGAGAGAGCTGCCTACCAGTCACAAGAGAAGACAGGTGATAATCCCTTGACCTCTAGCAAAGGTGTGCTGGGGAGGACTCCAGAGGGTATCCTCCCACCTTCGTGGAGGCATGAGAACTGTTAATCACCTGTCTCCAAGCATCAGTACTTGCAGATCAGGCTACTTGAGCTCAGGCTAATATACCTCTTTCCTTTTATAAACTTGGGAAACTTCCTGTTTGTATCCTTATTGTTGTGTGAAGATAAGAGAGCCAGGCTGGCTGATATCAACACAGTCCTATCTTTTAAAAATGCTCTCCCCTTCTTCGTTACTGTGTAACACTTTGGATGTGTGCATGCATGCTAAGTCACTTCAGTCATGTCTGACTGTTTGTGACCCTATGGATGTGTTGCCCACCAGGCTCCTCTGTCCATGGGATTCTCCAGGCAAGAACACTGGAGTGGGTTGCCATGCCCTCCTCCAGGGGTTCTTCCCGACCCAGGGATTGAACTTGGATCTCTAAACATCCTGCATTGGCAGACAAGTTCTTTACCACTAGTGTAACACCTTAACTACTTTTTATTTTGGTTTTGATGGGCTAGGGGCCTTTTGGTATTGCATGCACTCCTTTAGGAGAAAAGTGAAGGAGAAAAGACCCAAAATGCATTTTCGTTCATCTTTTACATTTTTGGTTTTTCACCAACTCAATGACATTCAGTGAAAACATATGAAGACATGACTTTGGAAGAACTGGAGGATAACGAAGACGAATTTAATGAGGAAGATGAACGTGCAATTGAAATGTACAGGTTAGTGCCACCCAGAGGGCTGCTTGGTTTTTCATGTGGCACTATAATGTACGTCCTTTGAGATAAACCTGGCACATAAGTGAGTAAGCCTGGACCTTTACAGAGTCTGCCGTGTGAAGGGGTGTGTGTGAACGCATGTGTGTAAGATGTCTCTCCTCCTCCTGTCGTGCAGGCAGCAAAGACTGGCCGAGTGGAAAGCAACCCAGCTGAAGAATAAATTTGGAGAGGTTTTGGAAATCTCGGGAGAGGATTATGTTCAGGAAGTTACGAAAGCTGGTGAGGGCCTGTGGGTCATCCTGCACCTTTACAAGCAAGGGTGAGCTGTCTGATGTGCACGCGCGTGCTTACTCACTCAGGCGTGTCTGACTCTGTGACCCCGTGGGGTGTAGCCTACAGGCTCCTCTGTCCGTGGGACTTCCAAGTACTTGCAAGAGTACTGCCGTGGGCTGGCATTTCCTTCTCCAGGGGGTCTTCCCGACCCAGGGACCAGACCTGCACGTCCTGTGTCTCCTGCTTTGTCAGGGGTGTTCTTTACCTCTGAGCCACCTGGGAAGCCCTGATGCCTGTCTTTAAATATTCATTTGAATTTATGTCTTGAACATCTCAGGCTTACTTCACACCAGAGGGTTTTTTTTTTAAATTAATGCTTATGTGTTTTTGTTGCAGATTTGCCCAAATGTTATTGTCTAATTTTTGTCTTAAGACTTTCAGATTAATATTTGTGGCTAATATGAATGCCTTTATTAAATTTTAGCACAACAGATTTTTTTTTAATTGTAAATGAAATCCTCAGTCACTTGTCCCTCTGAAAAAACTCCAGCGTTTCACGACTCCATGTCGTGAGTCACTCTCCTTGACGGTACTGGTGACCTTTGTGAGCATTGTCCATGGCGAGTGATGCAGAGAGCCCCTAGCGCCTCACCTTCAGTTTTGCTCCCACCATGTGGAGTCAAGTGCTTGTGGAGTTTCTTTCAAGCAGGAGGCGCATTCTGAATCATGCATTCTAAGCCTTGGATGTTCTCTCCTTTAGAAAAGCAAGACAATTATCTTTTACAATGGAGCTGCTTTTCTGACTTACTTGGTCAGATTAAATTGTACTTTGGCTTTTGAACACTTTGCCCAAATCTATTAGAAAGTTTTTAGAAACCTTTTGTTCACCTTGGCTGTAGTAGCAGAAGCACTTGTGAAGTTGTCATGGGGTTTTCTATGGGGCACAAGGGCGGTTGAGGTTTACTATATGCAGACACAAACTCACAGTTGCTTCTCTTTATTTCACAGGATTCCCCTCTGTGCTCTGATAAATCAGCACTTCAGTGCACTTGCCAGGAAGTTTCCTGATGTCAAGTTTATCAAAGCCATTTCAACCACCTGCATCCCCAATTACCCTGATAGGAATCTGCCCACGATATTTGTGTACCTCGAAGGTGACATCAAGGCCCAGCTCATCGGCCCTCTGGTGTTTGGCGGCATGAGCCTGACGCTGGACGGTGGGGACTCTGAGGCGCACGTGCGGGGTGGGGGGGAGCGCCTGTCGTTAAGGGCGCGTGTTTCCTAGACGCAGGTGGGATGGCTTGTCACAGAGTCACCTTTGTCCCCTGTGAGTGAGTGTGAAAGGGAAGAACATTGAATCTGCCATAGATGAGTCACTGGGAACAGTTACAACTGGACTTTCAGTTAAAAGAGGGCAAAATGGATTTTAGAATATCTAATATATTGCCTGTGCTGTTTTATTTGTCCCTACAGTTGAATATGTTTGTTCTTTAATTATAACTCAAGAACACATCATTCATTTATTTAATTCACCCAAACATATTAGTGACATGTTTATATGTAAGATATATAAATACATGTAAATTTATACATATATAAATCTCTATAAAAATATTTTTTCAGTTGAAAGGAAACTTTTAAATGAAAAGTTTATTTAATTCTGCCTCTTAACTCCTAAAGGATATATCTTTTATTTTTTTCTACTTGTGAAATAGGAAGTATTAAAATACATATGCACAGATAATATGTGGGAGAGAAGCTGAGGCCTGCGAGCTTCCTACTAGGTCAGATTCTTTATCTCTTTAGTGCAGTGATATGCTGTAGTTAGTAGCCTTTAAAAACATGTGTTATATCTACTTTATATAACTATATAAGATATTCAACTGGGAAACATGTAAACAGATACATGGATGCATATATATATTATATAAGTTTTGCTTTATTCCAGTGTTCAAAGACATATGATATTTCAAACTATGTGATTTGCCTCTTATTTTGATCTTTGAACATACCATTAGTTGGGGGAGAGAGGTGTACAATAATAATTATAGTCTTTGTTTCTAGAAAAAGTCTCATTTGTAGGCCAGGCTCCATGGAATTCTCCAGGCAAGAATACTGGAGTGGGTTGCCATTCCCTCCTCCAGGGGATCTTCCCAACTCAGGGATCAAACCTGGGTCTCCTGCATTGCTGGCAGATTTTTTACTAAGTACATTCTTTATTAAGTACATTAACTTATGCATATGCATGTACATGTGAATCTGAATACATCCTTAAGAATCAGAAATCCTAAGAATTTTTTTTTGAGAAATTTATTGAATTTTCTTGGTCATTGAACCAAGATACCTAGAGCTGAAAATACTGATGCTGTTCATCTCCGTGGAACACTTTGAATTAATGCAATTTCAGTAAAATTGGTTTTCAGATTTTTAAAAAAATGTATTGGGTTGCACTGGATCTTAGTTGTAGCATTCAAGGTCTAGTTCACTGACTGGGGATTGTACCCAGGCCCCTTGCATTGGGAGTGTGGTGTCTTAACCACTAGACCACCAGGGAAGTCCCTGGTTTTCGGATTTGAATAGAGTTTCCTAATTAGTAGAGCATCAGTTTAAACTAGACTGTTTGGTGTAGAATCTTTCTGACAGTCTCTCCTGCCTGGGTAGAAAAATATATCACTTGATTTTGCTTCACAGTGTCTCACACCAATATGGATTTTCACTGATAATAAGAGGGTAAAGTATAGGAGCTAAGCCTTTAATCACTGATTCTTTTTTTTTTTCCTGACACTTTTAAGAATTATTACTACTTGGAACAAATGTATCAATCCTAGCATGTCATCATACATTGAGCCTTTGACTCTAATAGGTTGAGATATTGGACATGAGGTTTAAGAATTTCCTTTAGCTAAATAAAATTGGATTTAATAATTACATTGCTAGCAAGACTGTGAAAAGTATTTTCTTCGTATATTTCATGCTGATTTCTTTCCTGGGACATTCTGCAAGCCAAGAAGGTAGCTGTGAGGAGATAGGTTTAGTCCTTGGTTTTTTGATTAGTTATCCTGGAGGTTCAGATGTATGTAATATTTCATTTCATCTCATTTTATGAGAAGTTTTTGCAGGTATTTTGTTTTCTTAAGGGTCTGATTTTTTTTTTTCCCTTTCTTCCAGGTACCTTATAATTATGACCCTCAAATTGTCATCAAGTGTGGGTGGTCACACTTTCTGCTTAGAAAAACATAGTGGCTCGAGGTTTCCCACTCAGGCTGAGTCTTAGGCAATTTGCTTTTTCTTTATCATGCAGAGTTGGAGTGGAAGTTGTCTGAGTCTGGAGCCATCAAGACGAGCCTGGAGGAGAACCCCAGGAAGCCCGTGGAAGACGTGCTGCTATCCGCGGTGCGGTGCTCCGTCCCCGCCAGGAGGGACAGCGATTCCGAGGATGACTGAGGCCGTGGCCCTGGCAACCAGCTGAACTTTCTCGATGTGATACCGCGTCTGAACTTTTTTAAAAAAAGGAAAAAGTAGGAACGTATACTGTGGTTTTTTTAGTCTTTTATATTATGTTCTGAATCTCATAGATCTAAGAAACAATCATTGCTGGGAATCCTTTTAAATTTCTGGGAACTCTCTTTTTAATAGTATTTCCTTAAGAAAAAAATAAAAGCCAGATATTAGTTTGGCTGATGTCTCTGTTTTCCTCGCTTATATTTTAGGTCAGCTGTAAGACTATTCGTTCACATAAAACTATTCAAAAAGAAATACAGAGGTTTTTGTTTTTTTTTTTAACAATGTGAATAAATTATACAGTGGAAAATGGCAAGCTAAGCTTTGCATTTATATTATTTGTTTTTATTCTTTTGTAGAGCTAGCAACAGGATTATTAACTCAAAGGGATGATTGCTAGAAAGAAGTCTTAGTATTTATCCTGTTTAGAAGAAATAGGCAATAATTTTTGTGAAGTACTGTCTTATCAAAGCCTAAAAGATTAGGCTTATCAAACTAAAAGATTCCAATTTACTGCCATTTGGGGTCAGATAATTTTTCTAGTTAAGATAATTTTTTGTTTTCAGGCTGTTGATATGTGAGCTAATCTCAATTACCATAAAAAGGTGTCACCTGAAACTTTTTTGGAAATAAATAGGTATAAGCACACACAGAAGTAGACAAAGTGTATCTCAATCAGTTAGTAAAAAACATAACAAAAAGTTTCTGAACCAGAATCCTCTTAGCATTTACCACTTCGTGTCAAATTGACATTAACAGAATAATCAGGGGGACTGTTATCCCCTTATACCTGTGTTGAGTAATGTAGTGCTCACTACACATAGTAACAACTCCTGGTTTGAATCTTTAGAGAATGTGATCAGAGAGGGCACAGAGCTCCTTCAGATTGTTGTTGTTTATTTTTGCTGTCATTCAGAGAGAAACAGGCAGAAGTGTCTGCATTAGTGACTTTGTTCTTCTGTTCACATGAGAGCCAGCACTTCTGATGGAAACATACCCTGTGTCACAGTCTTCCTTGAAGGATTTCTCATGAGACTTTAATTGCAGGCTAGAAATAAGCTTGGTCAGTCCTGTCACTCATCTGCTGGTCCCATGGCTTAGATTTTCTGTTGTCGGCTGACAGCAGAGTGAAATGCAGTGGTGAAGGTGTGAGTGCCATGTTGGTCAAGAGCTGTGGTGCGTACACGTCCCCAGGGGAGAGAGGTGTGTGTGAGCATGTGAGGCTGCGTCTACCAGAACCGGCGGCAGGCCTTGTTCCCATGAGGGGCCCGTTCAGGGTGTCGTCCTCAACGTATGCTGTGCCACTTTGATCTTTGTTCCTGTGACATCTTTCCTCCATGCCAGATTAAGGTGTTGAGTTTGTGCTCAAAGGCTCAGGTGACTTGGTTCATGATCCCTGTCTGGACATACAGCTCCCAGACCCCGAAAGCTGTTTAGTCGTGCTGACTGAACTTGTCTTAAAAATGCAGAGAAAGAACAGCTTCTTTGTCCTAATATTAGAATTGTAATTTTGAACCTAACCTGCAAATTTCTACAGGTTGGTTACTTCTGGGAGACTTCCCTGTATTCCTTACCATTAACTCCTGTTTCATTTGGAGCATTTGTGATGTAGATGATGTACTTGGCTCTGAAGCATTGAGTTTGTCTCGTTCCACAGCAGAAACATACAATGACCAGGGAAAACCGGCAAGAAAGATCTCGGCAGTCTGTCTCCTGGTGTTGGGAGGGAACAGTTATGGGTAAGGGGTGTTGAGCAGGTGCTGGATAACCCTCTCTATAGTGATATTGGTGAGAAATATTTTCAGGAAGTTGGGGTGGTAAGTAGTTTGGGAGAAATAACAGAGTAAGACTATAGACTCACCCCTTGGCATCCATGGTAGTTGGTTCGAGGGCCCCATGGGGTGTCTGCAGATCCTCAGGTCCTCGCAGGTGGCTCTCCACATCATCAGTCCATGGTTTGTTGGATCCGCAGATGTGGAACCCATCTGCTGTGCTGTGCTGTGCTGAGTTGGGTCCGACTCTGTGACCCGTGGATGGTAGCCCACCAGGCTTCTCTGTCCATGGGATCCTCCAGGCAAGAATACTGGAGTGGGTTGCCATTTCCTCCTCCAGGGGATCTTTCCGACGCAGCGTTCCAACCTGTGTGCCATGTCTGCCCTGCATTGGCAGGTGGGCTCTTTACTGCTGAGCCATCTGGGAAGCCGACTGTAATCAAATACAGTTGATTTTTCCTAGTTTTCCTTATTTTGTTGAGAAGAAAAAGGATACAGTTAGGATGTACACAACTACCTCATTGCAAACCTAAATTTATGTCCTCCTGTCCTGACATTGCCGAAACGGTGGCTTCCTGGAGCATCGTCTTCCCGAAATGTCTCAGAGAACTTGTCTTGGATGCAGCAGACACTTTGTGAGAGACAGAAAGAGCTTAGAAGGGGGTCCTTTGTCCCTAATGCCTCAGTTTTCACCATTTATTGCCTCCAGCTATAAATTTACTCTTCTTACATAACAGCCCCAGTTTTGCCAATGCAGTTTTCAAGTACGACGGGCCAAATGTGTTGTGACTGGGTTGCCTAACTTAGAAACATGCTCTGTGAAAGTGGTTTTGTCCTCCTTGTGAAACCACTTGTTACTCATAAACAAACACAACCTTTTCCACGGGTGGGTTTCGCCTGTCACGTTCCTGATGTTTATATTCACTTTAGCCTGGGGTTCTGGCTTTCTGCCCCTGCGCACTACCCCGGCTCGGTGACTGCACAAGGGACCTGTCGCTCACGTGCTGCTGGGAGTTCCCTGGGCCCATTCTCACTGCCCATCCCTGCAGCAGCCTTGTCTTCCGTGCATTCAGTGTCCAGTGAAGATGGGTCTGCCCTCCAGGGCCTAGCCGTCCTTCTATACTTTTGACCCCATTTTCTCCCCCATTCTTTCAGGACTTTGTTCCAGTAAATTATTGCCTTATCTCAGTCTCTCCCTTGATGTGGGGCCTCAGGCTATAAGTGTTGGGCTTGGTAACAGAGACTGCTTCCTGCCTGTCAAGGACCAGGATTCTCCAACTCCACTCCAGCAGCTGAAGAATTAAGCTCCCAGCCTCCGTTGGAGCTGCGGGTTGCCAGAGCGAGGTGGGCAGAAGTTGGCTGGGAGTCCTGGGCACACTTCTTGGGAAGGGCAGCTGCTGTAGATGTCACTGCAGCCGACCTGTGCTGTAGGGTATACGTACAGAGCCAGAGCATTATGCGTAGTATTTTTGACGATGTTGTGGAGCCTGTGTATTCGGGCTCCGACTGCTGTCTCTGGACTCCTTACTGGGAAAGAAGTCGCTTTCACCTTGGCCTCTCTTAGAAGCAGAGCATCCTCTCATGCATCTCCTGCTAAAGCCCCCTGCCCGTTGTCTGTCACAGCCACAACTGTCCCAGCTCTCTGCTCCGCGCTTTCAGGCTGCTCGACAAAGCAGAGCAGCGTCTGTTCCCGGCCTCTATGTCATCACCATCATCGCCCCTCAGGAACTTCATGAACCAGACCAGGACTTCCGCTTTCACCTGTGAAAGACCAGATGCTCTGAACAGCTACCGCCCATCTGGCAGCAACGTTGGTAAACGTGTGGCTGAGCTGTCAAGAAAGGAACCCATTCTAACAAAACTGCGAGAGGCGAGCGAGCCCTCAGTGCATGTACCCCCGGGGCTCCTGCTGAGTCTTGGTGACTGAGCACCTCTGAGGGTGGGCTTGGGGGTTAGCAGGAGATAAGCCTTCAGGGAGGCCCCCTTGCAAACAGCTGGGCTTCAGCGTTGGGGGAACTGGCACTAGTTGAAAAGGAAAACAGTCCCCCTCTGAAGTACTTAGACACCTTCCCTCCCGTGGGTTTGAGTTCTCATGGTACCTGTGGTCTAAGCATTTCCCATGCGAAATTCTTAAACAGATCCCATTGTAATGCCCCTGGGTTCAAGGTCAGAGCAACTGTATATGCACATGAGAACTCAGCTTTAATTTAGCACTCAAGATACTCTCCACAGGGACATGAGCTGGGAATCATAAATCATAGGAAGCCTCAAATAAGGCATCTCAGATGAAACCCAGCAGAAAAGAGTACAATCATCCTGCAAGAAGTTAAGAGTAATAGAATTTTCAAGACCAAAATGTGAGCACATTTAATAGTTGTAAGTAAGTAAAAGAATAAAGAAGGGTTGCTTATGTAAGTCCCTTATAAAAATAACTGATGGAAGAAAGAATTAATAAACTGAAAAGTAGAGCCAAATAATTACCCCACAGGGAGCACGCAGAGACAAGTAGGTGGAAATAGAAGTTCGATTAAGAGATGTGGAGTGGTGAGAATGTCTAACACATCACTTAGAATTTTAAAAAGCATTAGAAATAAGTAACATTTGGAAAGATGAAGGTAGAATTTCCAGAACTGATGAAAGACATCAACCCTCAGATGCAGAAAGCTATACAAATTTCAAGTGAGTTAAATGAACTAAATCCACACCTTCATGTATGTAATGAAACTAGAATATCAGAAAAATTTGTAACACAGTGGGAAAAGTCAGATTACCTGTAACACAGCAAAAATAAGGCTCACTGCCTTCTCAGCAGCATCAGCGAAAGCCAGAAGACTGTGATAATATCTGTGGGCTACAAAGATGCATCAACAAAAACTATCAACTAAATTGTTAACACCTGGTGAGGCTCTATGTTTTAAACTTTTATATTGGAGTATAGCCAATTAACAATGTTATGATAGTTTTGTGTGGACAGAAAAGGGACTCCGCCGTATGTATGCATGTATCCATTCTCCCTTAAAGTGCCCCTTCAGCCAGGTTGCCACATAAATTAATGAGGCACTATTTTAGAAGTGAAGATGTCATCAAAAGACTTCACTAAAGGAAATTTAGAGGATTTACTTTGTGCAGAAGGACAGTGATGAAAGCTCTGAGATTCAGGAAAGCATAGTGACCAAAAAAACACGTATGGTTAAATCTGAATGAGCATTAACTTTATAAAACAATACAAATGATGTCTTGTTTATGACATTAAGATGAAATGGAACTGAAAAATAGGGCAAATTAGCACAGAAATTAAAGGGGACTTCATTGGAGTGTAAATGTTCTTAGATCCTTAAAAAGTATTCAAGAGGTTGGCAAAAATATGGTTAAAAACCTTCAAGTAACAGTAAAATTTTTTAAAGTATATAATTTTAAAGTAGTGTGTCTGAGGGTGCTCAGTTAATTCAGTAAAAGACTAGATTGAAGAATAAAAAGAAAAGGCAGAACCATAGAAAGTCCAAAGTAAGGTGCTAGAATCTAAACAGTGAGCACAATAAATGTAAATGGCTAATACTAATAGTGCTTTTCACCATATGACCCTGCAGTCATGCTCTTAGGTATTCACCCTACTTACTAAAACTTATGTCCATACAAAAACACAAATGTTTATAGCAGCTATATTTATAATGGCCAAAACTCAAACAACCAGAGTGTCTATCCGTAAGTAAATGTGTAAACAAATTGTAATTTGATATAATGGAATGTAATTCAGTGATAAAAAGAAATGAGCTACCAAGCCACAAAAACCACGGGTGCTAGATGAAATAAGCCAGTCTGAAAAGACTGTCTATTTTATGATTCTAATTATAAGACATTTTAGAGACGGCAAAACTGGAGATGCTAAGAAAATCCATGGGGAGGAGGAAGGAAAGTTAAGGAGTGTGGGATTGACATGTTCACCCTGCTGTGTTTAAAATGGATAACCAGGGGCTTCCCTGGTGGTCCTGTGGGTAAGACTTTACCTTCCAAAGCAGGCGGTGCAGGTTTGATCCCTGATCAGGCAGCCAAGATCCCACATGCCCCATGACCAAAAAACCAAAACATAAAACAGAAGCAATATTGTGAGGAATCCAATAAAGACTTTTAAAAATGGTCCCCATCAAAAGCAGTCAGTAAAATGGATAACCAACAAACCCACTGTATAGACTAGGGAATCCTACTCAATTGTTATGTAACAACCTAAATAGGAAAATAATTTGAAAAAGAATAATACATTTTTCTGTATAACTGAATCATTTTGCCGTACACCTGAAACTCACAGCATTGTTAATCAATTATGCTCCAATATAAAATTAAAGAAAAAGGTCAAAGAAAAAAAAAATCAGTGGTTCCCGAGGCTCAAGGGGATGGTGGTTGAATAGGTAAAGCACAGGATTTCTAGGACAGTGAAACTGTTCAGAGGGTGGGGGTATGATGATATTCATTTGTCAAAATCCACAGGACATTACAGCACAAACAGTGAATCTTTATGCACATTAAAAAAAATCACATCAGGAGCTGGAATACATGGATGGAACACAGAACTATGAAACAACCATATTATAAATGTATGAAACAACCTCATGGAAGGAATTGAGGGGAAGATGACCTTGGAAATGAGTGGTGTCTGTAAGATGAAGCACAAGAGAAACTACATGAGGACTAGGCTGCAGCTGATAAATTTCTCACGTTGGCGCCTGTTAACAGTCGTGATACTGCTCTAATGCACTAGATTTAAACAAATGGAACCAGGTGGTGGGAGCCAGGCTTCTCTTGTTATTTAGAGTGTGAGGGTTACAGATAGCCTAGAGTGATCCACCTGTACTGGATTAGAGCTGGACCCTCCCTGTGAACTCACATAGGCACAGCTAGTTACAGGTTTAGATGGTGTGTATACACAGGTTTAGGAGGGCTGCTGTGAGGCGCAGGAGGGCTGAGAGGAGCTACTCCACGTTCAAGGTCAGGAGGGCGGCCATAAGAAGATACCCCTCGTCCAAGGTAAGGAGCAGAGGCTGTGCTTTGCTGGAGCAGCCGTGAAGAGATACCCCACGTCCAAGGTAAGAGAAACCCAAGTAAGACGGTAGGTGTTGTGAGAGGGCATCAGAAGGCAGACATACTAAAACCGCAATCTCAGAAAACTAGCCAACTTGATCACAGGACCACAGTCATGTCTAACTCAATGAAACTAAGCCATGCCGTGTGGGGCCACCCAAGACGGTCAGGTCATGGTGGAGATGTCTGACAGAATGTGGTCCACTGGAGAAGGGAATGGCAAACTACTTCAGTATTCTTGCCTTAAGAACCCCATAAACAGTATGTAAAGGCAAAATGATAGGATACTGAAAGAGGAACTCCCCAGGTCAGTAGGTGCCAAATATGCTACTCGAGATCAGTGGAGAAATAACTCCAGAAAGAATGAAGGGATTGAGCCAAAGCAAAAACAATACCCAGTTGTGGATGGGACTGGTGATAGAAGCAAGGTCTGATGCTGTAAAGAGCAATATTGCATAGGAACCTGCAATGTTAGGTGCATGAATAAAGGCAAATTGGAAGTGGTCAAACAGGAGATGGCAAGAGTGAATGTCTACATTCTAGGAATCAGTGAACTAAAATGGACTGGAATGGGTGAATTTAACTCAGATGACCATTATATCTAATACTGTGGGCAGGAATCCCTTAGAAGAAATGGAGTAGCCATCATGGTCAACAAAAAAGTCCAAAATGGAGTACTTGGATGCAATCTCAAAAATGACAGAATGATCTCTGTTCATTTCCAAGGCAAACCATTCCATAGCACGGTAATCCAAGCCTATACCCCAACCAGTAACGCTGAAGAAGCTGAAGTTGAATGGTTCTATGAAAACCTACAAGACCTTTTAGAACTAACACCAAAAAAGATGTTCTTTTCATTATAGGGGACTGGAATGCAAAAGTAGGAAGTCAAGAAACACCTGGAGTAACAGGGAAATTTGGCCTTGGAGCACGGAATGAAGCAGGGCAAAGGCTAATAGAGTTTTGCCAAGAGGACGCACTGGTCATAGCAAACACCCTCTTCCAACAACACAAGAGAAAACTCTACACATGGACATCACCAGATGGTCAACACCGAAATCAGATTGATTATATTCTTTGCAGTCAAAGATGGAGAAGCTCTATACAGTCAGCAAAAACAAGACCAGGAGCTGACTGTGGCTCAGATCATGAACTCCTTGTTGCCAAATTCAGACTTACTGAACAAAGTAGGGAAAACCACTAGACCATTCAGGTATGACCTAAATCAAATCCTTTATAACTATACAGTGGAAGTGAGAAATAGATTTAAGGGATTAGATCTGATAGACAGAGAGCCTGATGAACCGTGGATGGAGGTTCGTGACATTGTACAGGAGACAGGGATCAAGACCATCTCCATGGAAAAGAAATGCAAAAAGGCAAAATGGTTGTCTGAGGAGGCGTTACAAATAGCTGTGAAAAGAAGAGAAGCAAAAAGCAAAGGAGAAAAGGAAAGATATTCCCATTTGAATGCAGAGTTCCAAAGAATAGCAAGGAGAGATAAGAAAGCCTTCCTCAGCAATCAGTGCAAAGAAATAGAGGAAAACAACAGAATGGGAAAGACTAGAGATCTCTTCAAGAAAACTAGAGATATCAAGGGAACATTTCATGCAAAGATGGGTTTGATAAAGGACAGAAATGGTATGGACCTAACAGAAGCAGAAGATATTAAGAAGAGGTGGCAAGAATACACAGAAGAACTGTACAAAAAAGATCTTCACGAGCCAGATAATCACAATGGTGTGATCACTCACCTAGAGCCAGACATCCTGGAATGTGAGGTCAAATGGGCCTTGGAAAGCATCACTACGAACAAAGCTAGTGGATGTGATGGAATTCCAGTTGAGCTATTTCAAATCCTGAAAGATGATGCTGTGAAAGTGCTGCACTCAATATGCCAGCAAATTTGGAAAACTCAGCAGTGGCCACAGGACAGGAAAAGGTCAGTTTTCATTCCAATCCCTAAGAAAGGCAATCCGAAAGAATGCTCAAACTACCACACAATTGCACTCATCTCACACGATAGTAAAGTAATGCTCAAAATTTTCCAAGCCAGGCTTCAGCAATATGTGAACCGTGAACTTCCAGATGTCAAGCTGGTTTTAGAAAAGGCAGAGGAACCAGAGATCAAATTGCCAATATCCGCTGGATCATCACAAAAGCAAGAGAGTTCCAGAAAAGCATCTATTTCTGCTTTATTGACTATGACAAAGTCTTTGACTGTGTGGGTCACAATAAACTGTGGAAAATTCTGAAAGAGATGGGCATACCAGATCACCTGACCTGCCTCTTGAGAAACCTGTATGCAGGTCTAAGCAACAGTTAGAACTGGACATGGTACAACAGACTGGTTCCAAATAGGAAAAGGAGTACACTAAGGCTGCATATTGTCACCCTGCTTATTTAACTTCTATGTAGAGTACATCATGAGAAATGCTGGGCTGGAAGAAGCACAAGCTGGAATCAAGATTGCCTGAAGAAATATCAATAACCTCAGATGTGCAGATGACACCATCCTTATTGCAGAGAGTGAAGAGGAATTAAAAAGCCTCTTGATGAAAGTGAAAGAGGAGAGTGAAAAAGTTGGCTTAAAGCTTAACATTCAGAAAACTAAGATCATGGCATCTGGTCCTATCACCTCATGGGAACTAGATGGGGAGACAGTGGAAACAGTATCAGACTTTTTTTCGGGGGGGCTCCAAAATCACTGCAGATGGTGACTGCACCCATGAAATTAAAAGACCCTTACTCCTTGGAAGGAAAGTTATGACCAACCTAGATAGTATATTAAAAAGCAGAGACATTACTTTGCCAACAAAGGTCCATCTAGTCAAGGCTATGGTTTTTCCAGTGGTCATGTATGGATGTGAGAGTTGGACTGTGAAGAAAGCTGAGCACCGAAAAATTGATGCTTTTGAACTGTGGTGTTGGAGAAGACTCTTGAGAGTCCCTTGGACTGCAAGGACATCCAACCAGTCCATCCTAAAGGAGATCAGTCCTGGGTGTTTATTGGAAGGACTGATGCTGAAGTTGAAACTCCAATACTTTGGCCACCTCATGCGAAGAGTTGACTCATTGGAAAAGACCCTGATGCTGGGAGGGATTGGGGGTAGGAGGAGAAGGGGATGACAGAGGATGAGATGGCTGGATGGCATCACCGACTCGATGGACATGAGTTTGAGTAAACTCTGGGAGTTGGTGATGGACAGGGAGGCCTGGCGTGCTGCGATTATGGGGTCGCAAAGAGTCGGAAACGACTGAGCAACTGAACTGAACTGCACTGAACTGATAACCAGGTGTATCGGGGCTCCCTGATAGCTCAGTTGGTAATCTGCCTGTAGTGCAGGAGACCCCGGTTCTATCCCTGGGTCGGGAAGATCTGCTGGAGAAGGAATAGGCTACTCACTCCAGTACTCTTGGGCTTCCCTTGTGGCTTAGCTGGTAAAGAATCAGCCCGCAATGTGGTAGACCTTTGTTCGATTCCTGGGTTGGAAAGATCCCCTGGAGAAGAGAAAGGCTACCCACTCCAGTATTATGGCTGGGAGAATTTCATAGACTGTATAGTCTATGGGGCCACAAAGTCTTTGGGGTCGCAAAGGTCGGACATGACTGAGCGACTTTCACCTTCACATACACAGGTTAGTAAACACATTTCCTTGATCTGTCAGTTGAAGGGGCTTAAAAGCAATGACGCTCCCATTGCAAAGGTCACACCTACTATTCAGATACTGGTTTCTAATATCATTTCATAAAGAAGAAACCAAAACTCTAGAGAAGTAGTTGATTCTACCACAGGAGTAGAAAATTCACAAGACCAACCTGGATCATCTTGTAGTGCCAGAAAGGAAAGATGTGCTCAAAACAAAAGCAAAAATCACAATGATAGCAGTGTGTCGAAGGAATGCAGGAGTCTCCTAATGACTGGACACTTTGGGCAATAAAATAAATACTGGATTACAACCTAAGTGTAAAGTAAATATTCATGAGTCTGTATAGATAAATGATGGAACAGACACACAGATTGAAGAGACCATTTCCTGTGCAGAATTTGGAATAATTTATGTAGATACTCCATCCACATTTAAGATGTTCTACTCTTCAAATGTGGGCTGCACACAGTGACTTCCTTCCAAAGTGAGCAGCGTGGAAAGGGATCAGGGTGGGGAGTAGCTTTACAGAAAGCTGCCAAGCTCTGCCACCCAGGTGACCAAGGTCAGAACCAGTAGCTGTGAGGCATGTTGTTAATAATAGTATGGCCCCTGGGTATTGATGGGGTGAAAATGATACAAGGCAAACTCTTTGATCTTCCTCCTCAAAATCCAGACCTGTACACAGACATCTGACAAATTCCAATTGAGGAATGTTCTATAAAACAGATGAACAGAAATCTTCAAAACTGTAAAGTTTACCAAAAACAAAGGAAATGTGAGAAATGGACCCAGCCCTGCAAAGAGATCCCCAAGGGGATATGACAACGTAATATAAGACAGTGTCCTGATGGGATTCTAAAACAAAATGAAAGAATTCTCTGTAAAGTGTGGATTTCATGCATCAATATTGTATTGCTTCACTAACTGTAACAAATGTCCTGTATTAATATAAGATGTAAGAAGAGAGGAATTGGGTACAGCATGCATTGTGTATTCTGCTATCTTGTAGATTTTTCTGAACATCAAACACCATGTTAAGAAAATAAAAGTTGATTTTTTAAAAAGTCCAGCGGTTCATGAATTACATCAAACTGAAAATTGTCACTAGTGTAAGCAAGGTGGTGCTCAGCTCTTGATCGTCATCTGTGTGTAATAAAGTGCCAGGATTAAACGGCAGATGTCTTAGTTGGAATCTACCCAAGTGCAGAGCAAGTTGAGGGCTTGGGTGCCAAGTGAGAGGGAGATCTGGGAGGCTGGGGCAGGGGGAGAGGCCAGCGTGAGGGTGAGAGGCTGTGGGCAGTGCTGTGGGCAGTGGGAAGTCACTCCCTTAGGATCCTCTGAGAAACCCACAGTGTCTTCCACCCACAGGGTGGGGGCTACGCCACTTATCCCCCATCCCTGGCCCCCACTGCTTGAAGGCTGCTCCCAGGGGGGTGAAACCCTGTGCCCTTCTGGGCTGCTCCTGCACCAGGGCCAAGCAGGCATCTATCTGGGAGGAGGACCTCAACAGACAGACACGGGGACTGTGCCTTTTAGGTGGGAAGCTGGTGGTGCACAGCCAGTCTGAGCTTACCCGGAAGTTCATTCTACTTTATACATTTAAAGAGCCTGCTTAGACATATTCAGACATGGATTTTTGTCACATATCACTCTTGTGCATACGTAAAAATGAAAGCGAAATAAATCAGTTGCGATAATCCTGAAGTGTCCTTCTGTTCCGAGTCCAGCTCTAATGTGCTGTGCTATTGAACTTGATGCTGACACTTCTCTGATCCTACCAGTAGGTGGCGAGCTAAACCAACTTGATCCCAGCAGCTTCCTGGCTAGCAGTCACTTCAGCACGCACCCTGACCTTGAAAATGTTAATAACGAATGGGAAACGCGTTTAGAATTGATGAAATGAGTTAGTTCTAGTGCCTATGCCTAGTGGATGAAGAAGGCTATTTTAACTTGATCATTTTAGCATTTAATTTTGAAAGCAGATCGTAAACTCCAAACCTGTTCATTGACATTTTAAAATGTTGAAATTAACCAGCTTCCTAATAGGAAAGATGCAGCTACTATTCTTTGCATATCTATTAAAGCAAATGCAATATTTTAAAAAAATTAAAGACCCATATTTCTATTTTGTAGGTAACTTTCTCTGATAATTTTTTAAAAATTTAATCATAAACAAAGCATAGATCATAAAAAGTTGTAGTTAGTAAAGAGTTGGGTAATTAACAAATCAATCCTTTGCCTTTTGCAAATATTACAGAAAACAACAACAAAAATTCATCCAACTGTTTGTTCTATCCCTTGGATCTGAGATCCCCAAATGAAATAGTGTAATAAACATGCATACGCACACACACATGCGCGCACACACACACACACACACACACACACACACACACACACACAAGCTGTACCGGACTGGTCTATATTGTAACTGCAGTAACTAAATAAAAATGAGGATAAATCTGTCAACTTCTTGTTATCCCACTTACTGACTTTGAGCCCCAAAGAGTTTATGATTCCATTTTGGTTTCCCAATGCAACTGGAAAGAAAATGGGAGAAGCCCAGAACACTTGGCAGATTTCTTACTAGGAATCAATGCAGTTTCCAAACTCTGTGTCAAGGTATCCCAGATTCCCGCAGCAAGTTAACGGGAGGGGGAATATCCTAAGAAGTCAGGGGAAACACAGCAACACTGCACATTCATCAAACACTACAGCAGCTGCCAGCTCCAAGGAGCTCAGAGCCTCGATATTAGCTTGCCCTGCCCCTCTTCCGATGATGTCATACCCTTCAAAGCTGGGTTTTGGGCAGTTGCTGTGTTAAAAGCACATACAACTCAAAAGTCAGTCTGAAACAGGGCATGAGGGTGTCAGTGTCAAATTCCAAGGTGGGGAAGGTGTGCTGTGCTCAACAGGAACTTGTGCTCCATTCATAAGTGAAAAAGTAAGCTTATTTTTCTTTCAGTTTTCGTGTGTGTGTGTGTGTGTGTGTGTGTGTGTGTGTGTGTGTGAGCTTTTCTGGTAGCTCAGCAGTAAAGAACCCACCTGCCATGCAGGAGACGCAGGTTCGATCCCTGGGTTGGGAAACCCCCTGGAGGAGGAAATGGAAACCCACTCCAGTATTACTGTCTGGGAAATCCCACGGACAGAGGAACCTAACGAGCTACAGTCCCTGGGGTCACAAAGAGTTGTACACGACTGCATGCATGCACATGTGTATGTGCATCTGTGTGTGTGTGTGTGTGTGTGTGTGTATGTATGAACAGCTAGAAGATTTTAGGACGTAAGTGCTTGTTAAGTTGTATGGCCCTAACTACTTAATAAAAGAAAGTGGTACCTATTTCTTTCGGTTTAGGGGCACAGTGAAAAATTTACTGAGCTGTGAACCTATGCAAGGTTGGGTACCCCTGCTGCTGCTCCTAAGTCATTTCAGTGGTGTCTGACTCTGTGCGCCCCATAGACGGCAGCCCACCAGGCTCCCCTGTCCCTGGGATTCTCCAGGCAAGAACACTGGAGTAGGTTGCCATTTCCTTCTCCAATGCATGAAAGTGAAAAGTGAAAGTGAAGTCGCTCAGTCATGTCTGACTCTTAGCGACCCCATGGACCGCAGCCTACCAGGCCCCTCCATCCATGGGATTTTCCAGGCAAGAGTACTGGAGTGGGGTGCCGTTGCCTTCTCCGTGGGGACCTCTAGTGAATGGGTATTCTGGATTATAATGAAGTCTGGATTATAGTGGTCAGAACAAATCCATCCCTGAGATTTTGAGTTAAGGGATAGTCTTGAATATGTCAGGCTGAGGACCACAACCTGGAGGCTGGTGTGTGTGAGTCCAGATTAACCCAGGGACCAGCCTTCCTGGAGCACACAGCTTCATCTTTTTCACCACCTGCCGCAGAGCTAGTGGCTTCTCACGGTGCCATTAAAGCTTGTTTAACCTCCCTGGCCTCAGTTTTCTCATCTGTAAAAGTGATCCAACCCAGGCAGTTATTAGGAGGATTACATGAGCTAAGATTTGTAAAGCATTTAGAAGTGTTTGCTGATGTTTTACTGGTGTTGATGTTGTGACAAGGGTAATTGCCATCGCTGGCAGAAGCAGCTTCCTAATTATTGAAAGCACAAAGCCTTTCTCATGAGGGTAGGTTTGCTCATTTGAGATTAATTACTTAGTCCTAGTGCTTGTGATTATAAACTGGACCTCATATGACCCAGAAATTCTCACAGTAAGTTTGTCAGGACAGTTTGGGAAGAATCTTACATCATATCTCTTCACATTCTTATTTGGGGAACTTCATGTAGTATTCTTCCCATTTTTATTTGCACCATTACATAATCCTTCTGTATAATCTATTTTCTCCTCCGCCCTTTTACATTCTGATAAGGGTGTTAGGAAAATACCCATCTCTCTCTAGACTATCCTGTACTTTCTTGTCCTAGTAGGTACAATTCTTAGTCCAAAGCATATGAGACTTTCATGTTCGCATATTGTTTCATTTATCACTTTCCAGGACAACTCTTCTCCACGTGGATTAAATGCTGGGAGGCTCTTTGCCTTGATCTGTCTCCTTTTAGCGTCTCTACTGAGTAACCGTCGGTCGTGTGATATCACGTTATTCATCAGCCCTCCTAATGGCTGTGCCCTCTCTATTACAGGAACGGCGTCGTCAAGGAGAGAAGGCCCTGTGCTGGGCTGTGCACCATCCGGTCTGTTCCTGTCCTCTTCCGGGATCCTACTTGTGAGTTCTTTCAGAATAACGTACAGATCTGAGGCCTGTGACCACACTCACAGACAGTAGGATGAAGATCGCTGGGCTCCAAGGCATGTTTTACATTTTCTGTTGGATTAGAATGAGTCAGAGAGAAATGGCGTCAGCCAGCTGGTCATGAAGCAGAAGGAAGGCCCCTGAACTTGAGAACTTCCCCAGAGGATTCTTGTTTAATCTCCTCTAACTTTTCCTTGGCAGATCCCACCACTGATGCTCAGCCAGACATGTCCTTGGCAATGAGAGGTCTTGGAAGAATGAGCTTTCAGTTACTGGGTACATTTTTATGTTTCAAGCAGTAAACAGTGGTTGAGGGAGTGTGGCACATCTCTTCAAAATGAATTCTGAGTCATATTTGATCTGCTTTTCTAGTGACTTTGGAACATGTTATGACATATCCAATAGATAGAATTCTTTCAACACTCTCCTAGCATCCACATGTGTTTGTGACCTCCCATAGTTCTTACTCCAAGCCCAGTAAGTACATCTTTTAGAGAAAGAATAAAGGAAGGGAGGGAGGGAAAGAAAGATGGAAAGGAGGATTGTGTGAATCACTCAGTCGTGCCTGACTCTTTGCAACCCCATGGACTTCAGCCTGCCGAGCTTTTCTGTCCATGGGATTCTCCAGGCAAGGATACTGGAGTGTTCTTCTCCAGGGGATCTTCCCAACCTAAGGATCAGACCTGGATCTCCTGCACTGCAGGCAGATTCTTTATTGACTGAGCTACCAGGGAAGCCCAGGAAAGGGGGAGGGAGGGAAGAATTCATATTATTTGGAGGCCCTGTGTTGGCAACTATTTGTAAGTTAATGAGTTTCCCTTCTCTTTTGTAAATTGAACAGTATGTGGATCAGAAGCTTTGCCATTTTTGTTCAGGGCTTTTATTTGCTTGGAAAGGACCATTGGGAGGGTTTTGTTAATTTTCTTTTGGTACCTAGAGTCAAGGAGACTTCTGTACAGGATTTCTGCATGATTTAATGAATTGATGCTTTTGAATTATGGTGCTAGAGAAGACTCTTGAGGGTTCCTTGGACAGCAAGGAGATGAAACCAGTCAATCCTAAAGGAAATCAACCCTGAATATTCATTGGAAAGACTGATGCCAAAGCTGAAGCTCCAATACTTTGGCTACCTAATGCAAAGAGCTGACTCATTGGAAAAGACCTTCATTCCGGGGAAGACTGAAGGCAGGAGGAGAAGAGGGCAATAGAGAATGAGATGGTTGGATGGCATCACGTCCTCAAATGGACATGAATTTGAGCAAGCTCCGGGAGATAGTGAAGGAAGGGAAGCCTGAGAGTCCATGGGGTCACAAAGAGCTGGACACGACTTAGTGAGTGACCAACAACAGCACTGACACCACTATCAGTGTTTGACTCCATGGTCCTAGGAAAAAGTTTTAAATAGAAGTCGTTTAAGAAGGAAAGTTTTCACTAAAAGTCCACAAGTCATTGTACTTTATTGACCAGGATTTGCTCGTAGTTATGTGTAAATGTTTGCAAAAGCAAAGAAATTCAGCACCTCAGAGTTCCTGAAGACTTTCCAAGGCCACTACTACGCAGTGTCCTCTTTTGAAGATGGCAGGCCCACTGAGTCAGCACACTGGAACCCAGGGAACTCTACGTATTCTCAGATAAAATGACTGCAAAGCAGGGGCTTTCAGTTCAAGAAGCAATCACTAGTTGCACGTGTGGCCGCAGCAAAGTCAATTAGCCCCTGCCTGGGGCCTACAGAAGAATCAGGTCAGGACCAGGGGACATTGTGAGGCTGGTCTGAACTGCGCATAATGAATTTGGCCTTTCCTAGGGAGAAGGTGTCTTTCTTTCAGATTTTTCTCAAGATGTGCAGAATAGGTGGGTTTCCCTGGAGTATCTGATCTCAACTTAGTGAGGCCAGGCAGAAAGGAACAAAGGATGCTGAGTGGATGCTGGGGCCAGTCAGTGAAGTTGATGCATAAAGTTTAAGCTACTGGGATTTGGGCAGAACCAGAGGAACTACCAAGTGGTTGAGGAGAGTGTTCCAGAGTTATATCACCCCAGTCTGGAAGCTACCTTTCCTGCTTGGTTTTTTGTGACTTTGGGCAAGTTATTTAATTTTTCTGAACTTCAGTTTCCTCAACTGTAAAATGTAGATGCTAACGATATGGACCTCAGGGGTGTTATGAAGATCAATATCATAATTACAGGGCCTCCATGGTGAGAAGTGGTAAAGAATCCACCTGCCAATGCAGGAGACACAGGCTCCATCCTTGGTCTGGGAAGATCCCACATGCTGCATAGCAACTAAGTCCTTCTGCCACAACTACTGAGTCTGTGCTCTAGAGCCGGGGAGCTGCAACTATTGAGTCCATGTGCCACAATTACTGAAGTCCTAGAGCCTGTGCTCGGCAACAAGGGAAGTCACTGCAATGAGAACACCACACCCTGCAACTAGAGGAAAGCCCACGTAGCAGCGAAGACCCAGCACAGCCAAAAAAAGTAAATAATTAATGAATTAAAACAAAATGACCAGTGAGCTCTCAATGGAGGCCACTTTCAATATAATTATGATACAAATTAATGCCTGCATCTTGCTTAGAAGTCTTTGCTCTGATAAGTACTAGGTATTTATTATGTGAATTCATTAGACCTGGAGATCTAGCTGCTATTACTGCCTTACAACCCATCACAGACCTAGCATATAAACAGTCATCTTTGTGTTAATGCTCATGAGTTCTGTGAATCAAAACCCAGTGAGCATGGCCTTCTTTTGCCCCACCATATCGGGACCCTCAGAGATGAAGATTTATGCTGGGAGTAACTCAGGCAGCCCAGACTGTCACCCCAAGGCTCCTTCACTCACCTGTGTGGAGTCTGGTTGGACTGGTTTGGAGTCTGGGCTCTCTGGGCCCATCAGCTGGTGCCTACTTGTGCCTGAGTCACGCCCTGGCCTTTCCCATCCTGGAAGCTGTATTCCAAGAGGGGTGTCCCCAGGGCATGTGAAGAGAGCCAGAAAGAAGCTGGTGGCCTACTGTGACCAAGCCCCAGATATCATAGAGAGTCACTCCCACCATGTTCTACAAGATAAAGCTGTCCCCAGCAGGCCAAGTTCAAGTGATGTGGACTCCAAGTGCCCATGGAGTTTAATTTGATGGGAGAGCCTCACCAGCCCCGCCTTCTGGGGAAGCCCCATGTGCATTGCTCTAGCAGGCAGGACTGGTGCCATGGCTTCTTCCAGATGCCCCTGGTTGACGTTGGGCCACCCAGCTGGGCGGGCCTGACCAAGAGGAACCTCAGAATCAGCGTCCTTTTCACAAGGGACTGAGCGCAGGACCTTGGAGTAGCTCCTGAGGCTCAAAGCCAGGTCAGACCCTTGTTCCCCACTTCCTCCTTGCGGCACAGCAGTCGGTGGACCCCATTGCCTGAAGTCAGCCCCAAATGGTTCTTCTCATCTTATGAGGTTGCCTGTACTCCATTGTTTTAATTACAGGCTGTTACTTCATTTAAAAAATCAGCACTAGGATTAAAGGGACTGTCATTTTAAAAGCCAGACTCCTGGCCTGAAAACTCATCCGTGAATCAGAGGACAAATGTTCCCATTGTGCTGGTTAAAAATAGGAGCTATGGAAAAAGTGACAGAATGAGATGAATGCCATTAAAGTGTAATTACATTTACTGTAAATGTGAGCCTTGGGAAGAGTATTCTAGGCAGAGAAGCTCTGCCAGAGCCCGTGGCATGGAAATCCCAAAGCCTCAGCAGAATGCTGCTTTTATGTTTTGAATCAAAATAGTGTATATTATTGTGGATTGTTCTTAGTGTCCATTAGCCTTACTGGGGGTATTTGAAAGAACTGTGTCACTCCAAAGGGAAGTAAGAACAATGCAGCTCAGTTCACCTTGAATCTCAGAAGGTAGTTTTTCTGTTCTCACAAGGCCATGTTTCTATACATCTGTATTCTATGTATTTAAAGGTAAAGAATCACCTGGCAATACAGGAGACTCGGCTTAGATTCCCCGAGTTGGGAAGATCCCCTGGATGAGGAAATGGCAACCTCCTTCAGTATTCTTGCCTGGGAAATCCGACAGACAGAGGAGCCTGGCAGGCTACAGTCCACGGGGTCACAGAGAGCCAAATATGACTGAGTGACTGGGCAAGTGCTAGAATCTATTGACCTTTGTGTTTCTACCTATTTCTGTATCTCGTCCCTCAGTGCTCAAGTGTGGTAACTGCACTGGACATATTCGAAAGGCAAGTCTTAACTGTGTGGGTGTATGTGTTTTAATTGTGTGTGTTTTATTGACTACACCAAAGCCTTTGACTGTGTGGATCACAACAAACTGTGAAAAATATTTTAAGAGATGGGAATACCAGACTACCTTACCTGTCTCCTAAGAAAGCTGTATGCAGGAAAAGAAGCAACAGAACTGGACATGGAATAACTGACTGGTTAAAAATTGGGAAAGGAGTACATCAAGGCTGTATATTGTCACCCTGTTTGTTTAACTTATATGCTGAGTATTTCATGCAAAATTCTAGGATGGATGAATCACAAACTAGAATCAAGACTGCCAGGAGAAATACCAACAACCTCAGATAAGCATACCACTCTAATGGCAGAAAGTGAAGAGGAACTAAAGAGCCTCTTGAGGGTGAAAGAAGAGAGTGAAAAAGCTGGCTTAAAACTCAACCTCCAAAAAACTAAGATCATGCATCAAGCATTGGGTCCCATCACTTCATGGGAAATAGATGGGGAAAAAATGGAAGCAGTGACAGATTTTCTTTTTTGGGGCTCCAAAATCACTGCTGACCATGACTACAGCCATGAAATTAAAAGACGCTTGTTCCTTGGAAGAAAAGCTATAACAAACCTAGACAGCATATTAAAAAGCAGAGACATCACTTTGCCAGAGCTATGGTTTTTCCAGTAGTTGTGTATAGATATGAGAGTTGGACCATAAAGAAAGCTGAGTGCTGAAGAATTGATGCTATTGAACTGTGGTGCTGGAGAAGACTCTTGAGGGTCCCTTAGATAGCAAGGAGATCCAAGCAGTCAATCCTAAAGGAAATCAACCCTGAATATTAATTGGAAGGACTGATGCTGAAGCTGCAGCTCGAATACTTTGGCCACCTGATGTGAAGAGCCGACTCATTGGAAAAGACCCTGATGCTGAGAAAGACTGAGGGCAGAAGGAGAAGGGGACGACAGAGGATGAGATGGTTAGACGGCATCATTGACTCAACAAACATGAGTCTGAGCAAACTCTGGGAGATAGTGAAGGACAGGGAAGCTTGGCGTCCCAGTCCACGGGGTTGCAAAGAGTTGGACACGACTTAGTGACTAAGCAGCAGCAGCAATGTCATAATGAGCCAAATAACATTTTGGCTGATAGCTAAAAATTATTCTTTTCCATTACTGAAGGACAAATGATTTCAAGCTTAAAAATGTGTACTATGCTTTGATGAACATGTTGCTTTTGGTCCTTTATGCATTTGGTCAATTTTCTTACATTTTCCTAGGAATGAGATTGTTGGATAAAAGATACACACATTTACTATTTTGATATCTTTATCATCAGATTTCCCTCTGGAAATGTACCAGTTTATACTCCCACAAACACCTTTGTCAGTATTAGGTATTAATATTATACATCCTACCAATCAAGAAGGGCTTCCCTGGTGGCTCAGAGGTTAAAGCATCTGCCTGCAATGTGGGAGACCTGGGTTTGATCCCTGGGTCGGGAAGATCACCTGGAGAAGGAAGTGGCAACCCACTCCAGTATCTTTGCCTGGGAAGTCTCAAGGACGGAGGAAGCTGGTGGCCTACAGTCTACGGGGTCACAGAGTCGGACACGACTGAGCAACTTCACTTTCACCAATAAAGAAAACAATTACATTTTCACATTAGCCATTTGTATGTCTTTGAAAAATTACCAATTCTTTATCTATTTTTATTGAGGTAGTCTTTTTTTATTGATCTGTGACTGCTCTTTGCATATTAAGGGTACCAGGGACTTCCATGGCTGTCCAGTGGTCAAGACTCTTCCACAGCAGCGGGCACAGGTTTGAACCGTGATCTGGGAATGAAGACCTCTATATGCCTTGTAGCTCCCCCCCAAAAACACACTAGCACTTTGTGTGTTTCTTGTTTTCTCTCAGTTTGTCTTTGTTTTGAACCTTTTATTCTTGTTTTGTTTTAGTGCATATTTGTAACACTAAAAGTGTTACAGTGTTAATCCTTTCTTTGTTATGACATCCATGGAACTGCCCTAGACCCAGGTGAAAATCATCACTTATATTTGTTTGTGCTAGTTTGATGTTTTTATTTTGTTTTGTTTGATATAATTTTAGTATAAGAAACCCTCCTCTATTTTTTCTTTCCAAATGGTTATCTGATTATAATTTCTTTATTTTTTTATCATTTTTAATGTTTTTAAGAACTCATTTTTTTTGGCTGTGCTGGGTCTTCATTGCTGTGTGTGGGCTTTCTATAGTCGTGGTGAGTGCAGGCTACTTTCTCATTGCAGCAACTTCTTTTACTGTGGAGCATGGGCTCTAGGACTCATGGCTTCCATAGTTGTGGTGCATGGGCTTAGTTGTGCAGAGGCGTGTGGAATCCTCCCGGACCAGGGATCAAACCTGTGTCCTCTGCATTGACAAGTGGACTCTTAACCACTGGACCACCAGGGAAGTGCTAAGATTTCTTTAAAACTTGGTTGGAGATGTAGATGCCAAAGAGAGCATGGGAAATAGATGGCTTAAAAGCTGGACTGGGTTTTCTGTCTGACCTCTGTCTTCAGCATCCTTTTCTGAAAGGTAGGATGTTAAGAAAGCCAGGGCGGCTTTAGGTGTTGACTTTCCAGGAATATTGACCAAAGCCAGGAATAAGATTGGGATGGCACCATCAAATTTAGCATACCAGTTTGCTTTAAAGGGAGCAATCAACAGGATGATGTTATAAGAGGTAGTTTGTATGATAAAGTATCATGTTCCCTCAGAGGCCGCCTTCTCCACGCTGCGTCCATGACCATCAGACTCAGTCCTTTCCCCCTCTCCCTGCAGTGAAGTTAACACCAACACTGATGCCCTGGTGAGCATTCGTCATTGGCTGTGGCCCCAGGACCCACAAGGACAGATGTTGAGGTTAACCAGCGTGTCCCCTGTCCTCTCCTGGTCCGTGGCTTACAGCTGGCACTTTGAGGGTCTTTTCTGAAAGTTCCCCTGGCTTTGTTGGGCTCAGAGTGGAGACGAATCACCACTGGTGTCATGAGTTGACCAGTATGTGGGCTCAGTGATAAAGATTATGCTCTCATTGTTTTCGTACCTGTGTCCACTTTTCCCACAGGTGTGGACTGTCTGCTGCGTGCGGGGCCTGTGCAGGGCTCTGCCAGGAGCTCTGATAACAGGAAGCTACCTGCCCTGGCCAAGCTGCCAGACACGCGGGGAGAGACCACAGTAGGTGCGGACACATGAGGCAGACCTGCGAGAAGACAGGAGCGGCTTCCCAGGGAGGTAATTCTAGAATGAGCCCTGAAGGATGAGGACAGGTAAGAACTCTATTCATTGAAAACACTTTCTCCCAGGGAACAGAGTGCAGAAGGGCAGCCTTCTGGGTCCAGGTTTTGTTGTTGTTGTTGAGGATGAGCTTTTAAATCAGCCTGGAAACTTTGGCAGAGGTTGGCTTCTAGTTTCTTTACCATCTGGACATCTATTGCAGTTCATATATTTTTAAGATTTTTTTTTAATATGGACCATTTTAAAAGTCTTTGTTGAGTTTGTTACAGAACTGATTCTGCTTTATGTTTTGATGTTTTGGCCATGAGGTACATGGGATCTCAGCTCCTCGACCAGGGATTGAACCCTCACCCCCTGCATTGGAAGGCGGTCTTAACCACTGGACAGCCAGGGAAGTCCCACAGTTCATGCGTTCTGATACCATCCATCAGTATGTTGCCGGTCCCCTCTCGGGCTCTGAGCACTATTAGGAAGTAGGGCCGGGGGCGGGGCAGAGCGGTGTGGTCCGCGTGCTCAGGCTGTGGCCTGGGAGGCAGAACTGGGCTGGACCAGAATCCTGGGGCTGAGGTCCCCACAGAGGGCTGGAGAACCACAGTTTCCCTCATCCTGACACTAGCTCGTGTTTCTGCAGTTTACCGTAGTTCTGCCAGCGACCTGGCCAGAGCTGGTTCATAGGGAGCTCTGCCAGTTCAGATGTGCAGGCCTTTTACACAGGGGCTGCTCTGAGAGCCAGAAGTGCCCCAGCTCATTTACCCACTTCGCTTCCTTTTACTTCATTCAGTCATATTTGACACAGATGCAGGTCCTGTGTAACAGATGTTATATGTGTATGTATGAATTTTGAGGTATACTAATCAAGCAAATGCTCTTGAACTTGCTGTGAACACCAAAACTGGAATATCACCAATGTATCTGAAACTGCCCTGTGCCCCTCCCCCATCCGATCCCCATCTGCCCTCCAGAGGTCACCATTCTCCCATTGTCTTGCTCATCTATAAGTATTTAATAGCTTCACCATATATATATGTACAGGTAAGTGATATACCATGTCTTTTGCTTGATTGTAAGCTTTATAAGTATGTTGTCTTTTGTGATTTCATTTCCCACTCAACTGTGTTTCCAGCCGTGTGTTTGCCAGTGGCTGGAAGTCACTCATTTTGCAGTGAGTTCTATTCCTTCGTGTGTCACCACCACATTCTGCGTGTGTATCCTTCTCTGGCTGAGCACGTGGGGCCAGACTGCCATGCGTTCTTTTCTCTGCCGCGGGCCCAGGCTTCTCTGCCCTGCTCTGTGACACTGGACTTGGACCCCTAAACACTTTTCCTTTGCTATCTTTGTCACAGGAAGGCTCTGGACAGACACGGCAGAAGGAAGGGGCTCCCCTCCTGGTTCTGAGCGCCCTCCCCGCCTGGCTTCTATGGTGTGGCTGCTGGTGGTGTGGGTGACACCCAGGGGCTTGCACCCTCTCATGTCACCCTGAGGGGAGGACTCCTGCTCCCTGGCTGGGCCCTGGCTGTGGACCAGAGGGGTCCCAGAAAACCCTGAGAACACCCGCTCCATGAGGCCCGAGTTCCAGCCAAGTCTGCTCCCTTCCTGGACTGCCCCCTCCGCCCCTGGGCACTCTTTAAAGCTCTTAGCCCTTCTCCGTAGTGGAGCCCAGTTACTAGTTAATACACCTGTGTGTTGTATCCCCCTGTGCAGATTGCTGGTGTAGTTTCTGTCTCCTGTCTGCTCCCCAGCTGATGTGACTTTACACCGGTCCTTTGTTGCCCTGCTGACCAGGCAGTGCTGTGGGCAGGTGGTGGGTGTGGGGCCCCAGCGCACACGGCCTCAGGCTGACTTGTCCCCCTGACTCTGGGCCGTTGGGGCTGGCACCCAGCACCCTCAGGCTGGCTCTGAGCCCCAGGCTCCCAAGTGGTACATGCTTACTCTTGCCCTTTAACCTCAGGTGTTACTGCAGAAGCCAAATCATTCCTGTAATCACTTTCAGATTTCCAGTTTTAAAAAGTACCCTCCTTTGTGATAATACCTGCAATTGCCCACTGGCTTTTCAGTTGGCAGTGGCGTGATTCACTACTCAAGGTTGAATTCTAGAAACATCAGCAAGGGGGATGGGGGGCAGCCAAGCTCAGGTCCTGTCATCTTCTGGAAGATGTTTTACTCCTTCCTACTTCCTGCTTCACAGGGAGAGGAGAGGGTCCCAAACAAACTTTCTTTCAGCAAGGCCAGGGAGATGCTCTTCTGGACAGAAATTTCCTCTTGCTTTGCTTAAAAGAGTGGAGCTCTGAGATCAGCAGCTGCCTTTGAAATCTTCCATTCAGAGTTTTTGTTCCTTGTCAGCTTGAGCACCTGGACATCTTACCCCTGACGCAGCATCTTTTAAGAAATAACCCTTGGTGCCCGGGTTCTGCTGTCTGTCAGACATGTACACCTGAGCTAGTCATGTGGGTCTTGGAGTGGCTCCTGCTTCCCCGGGGCAGGGGTGGTGATGGGACAAGCCTCCTCAGTAACTGAGCATGTGATGCCACAGAGAGTGTAACAGGCTCGGGCAGCCTGGGTCTGACTCAGCACCGGCCTGTTTACAGGGCAGTGAGCATGCCCAGCGTCCACTGTCAAGGGGCAGAATTGGACCAGTGTGGGAAATTCTGTCTATAGGTTCCCCTCCATTAGTAAACTCCTTTTACATGAAAATTTTCATTGAAGAAAAAGAGAAAGAAAGAAAGTGTACTAAATTCCACTTTATGTCATTATTCTAGAAATCTGTCTGTCTGCATATAGGTTTGGGGAGCCTCTGGAATAACATTTGCAAAAACATTTGTGTATGTCTAGTGGTAGGCTGAGGGGTAATTTTAACTTTCCAATTTTGTAATTTTGTAGACTGTACGGACCTTTGTTGGCTACAAAGTTCCGTATAGTCAAAGCCATGGTTTTTTCCAGTAGTCATATATGGATGTGACTGAGAGACGATAAAGAAGTGTGAGCGTGGAAGGATTGATGCTTTTGAACTGTGGTGCTGGAGACGACTCTTGAGAGCTCCTTGGACTGCAAGGAGATCCAACCAGTCCATCTTAAAGGAAATTAATCCTGAATTTTCACTGGGAGGACTGATGCTGAAGCTGAAACTCCAGTACTTTGGCTACCTGATGGGAAGAGCCGACTCATTGAAAAAGACCCTGATGCTGGGAAAGATTGAGGGCAAGAAGAGAAGGGGATGACAGAGGATGAGATGGTTTGATGTCAATGGACATGATTTTGAGCAAGCTCCGGGAGATGGTGAAGGACAGGGAAGCCTGGTGTGTTGCAGTCCATGGGGTTGCAAAGAGTTGGATAGGACTGTTGACTGAACAACAACAACAATTTTGTAGTTTTCCATGTTTTGAATAGTTCTTTAGAAATAAATTCAGTAAACAGAAATAAAAAACCCCAGAGGCCAAGCCAGCTTCGGCGGCAGAGGCTGCCGGGCAGCAGGGTCGGGGGTCAGTGGGAGGAGGGGAACGGGGAGCCTCAGGCCAGTGCCAGACGCACACTGGCTGCCTGGAAGGCTCCGATCGCCCACCGCGTGGACGGACTCTCCAGCTCAGACCCGGGCGCAGCGGTCACGCGCGAAGCGGCCGCCAGAGGGCGCGATCCCCCAGGGAACCGCAGCGGCCTCCGCGGCGCCACGTTTGCTCTCTCCCGGGTTGACGGGCGGGGCAGCCTGTGGGAGCCCCCGACACAGGGAGAGGGGGCGGGGCGGCGTCGCAGGAGGGGTTTTCAGGCATCCTCTCTCAGGGGCTCTGGATACCCGCGGTGGGGTGTGTTTCACTCAGGTTCCTCTTAGCTGTTCAGTTCAGTTCAGTCCAGCCCGGTCGCTCAGTCGTGTCCGACTCTCTGCGACCCCATGAATCGCAGCACGCCAGGCCTCCCTGTCCATCACCAACTCCCGGAATCCACCCAAACCCACGTCCATCGAGTCGGTGATGCCATCCAGCCATCTCATCCTCTGTCGCCCCCTTCTCCTCCTGCCCCCAATCCCTCTCAGCATCAGAGTCTTTTCCAGTGAGTCAACTCTTCGCATCAGGTGGCCCAAGTATTGGAGTTTCAGCTTCAGCGTCAGTCCTTCCAAAGAACACCCAGGACTGATCTGCTTTAGGATGGACTGCTTGGATCTCCTTGCAGTCCATGGGACTCTCAAGAGCCTTCTCCAACACCCACAGTTCTAAAGCATCAATTCTTCAGCTCTCAGCTTTCTTCACAGTCCAACTCTCACATCCATACATGACCACTGGAAAAACCATAGCCTTGACTAGATGGACCTTTGTTGGCAAAGTAATGTCTCTGCTTTTAAATATGCTGTCTAGGTTGGTCATGACTTTCCTTCCAAGGAGTAAGGGTCTTTTAATTTCATGGCTGCAATCACCGTCTGCAGTGATTTTGGAGCCCCCCAAAATAAAGTCTGACATGGTTTCCACTGTTTCCCCATCTATTTCCCATGAACTGATGGGACCAGATGCCATGATCTTAGTTTTCTGAATGTTGAGCTTTAAGCCAACTTTTTCATTCTCCTCTTTCACTTTCATCAAGAGGCTTTTTAGTTCCTCTTCACTCTCTGCCATAAGGGTGGTGTCATCTGCATATCTGAGGTTATTGATATTTCTCCCGGCAGTCTTGATTCCAGCTTGTGCTTCCTCCAGCCCAACATTTCTCATGATGTACTCTGCATATAAGTTAAATAAGCAGGATGACAATATACAGCCTTGACATACTCCTTTTCCTGTTTGAAACCAGTCTGTTGTTCCATGTCCTGTTCTGTTACTTCCTGACCTGCATATCAGTTTCTCAAGAGGCAGGTCAGGTAGTCTGGTATTCCCATCTCTTTCAGAATTTTCCACAGTTTATTGTGATCCACACAGTCAAAGGCTTTGGCATAGTCAATAAAGCAGAAGTAGTTGTTTTTCTGGAACTCTCTTGCTTTTTTGATGATCCAGCAGATGTTGGCAATTTGATCTCTGGTTCCTCTGCCTTTTCTAAAATCAGCTTGAACATCTGGAAGTTCACGGTTCATGTATTGCTGAAGCCTGGCTTGGAAAATTTTGAGCATTACTTTACTAGCGTGTGAGATGAGTGCAATTGTGTGGTAGTTCGAGCATTCTTTGGGATTGCCTTTCTTTGGGGTTGGAATGAAAACGGACCTTTTCCAGTCCTATGGCCACTGCTGAGTTTTCCAAATTTGCTGGCATATTGAGTGCAGCACTTTCACAGCATCATCTTTCAAGATTTGAAATAGCTCAACTGGCATTCCATCCCCTCCACTAGCTTTGTTCTTAGCTGTTAGTGACCCAGAAACTTAACCTGACTGCAACGTCTGGCACTCAGGTGCTGCCCTGACCAGCGAACTGGCCCTCCTCTGTACCACGTTTCTCACAGCTCCCTCTGGCCCTGCAAGTGAACCCCACTTTTTCAAGGAAGGGAGTCACATATCAGGGGTGAAGCAGCCCATGGAGTCTTAGCTGCAGATGGATCCAGAGCATAAATGACCTGTGGGCTCAAACAAGTAGCCAACTGTTTCTCCTGATGAATTTCACTCTTTAAAACTTTCCTTTGCTTGGTCCCCTCTGCTCAGAACCAGCCCCTCCCATTCCTGTTCTCAGTTCTACCTGCTCTGTTCTGTGGGCCAGTCTTTCACGCCTGCCCCTCGTGGCTTCAGGAACACGATGGATGAGTTGCTTTGTGAGTCTGGGCTCTGCCCCTCTGCTGTGTGTGATCCCTGGCTCTTCTGTGGTTGTTCAGTCATTAAGTCATGTCCAGCTGTTTGTGACCCCAGGGACTGCAGGATGCCAGGCTTCCCTGTCCTGCAATATCTCCCAGAGTCTGTGTCCCAACTATTAATGCCGAAGAAGCTGAATGGTTCTATAAGACTATAAGGCCTTCTTGAGCTAACACCAAAACTCCTCTATGAATCCCATTTTACCTCAAGTCTTCATGGCTGAGCTTGGAACTGAGGCCACAGTAAAACCTCCCCAGGAGTCGGAAGGCCCTTCTTCCCCGCCATGTGCTGGTGGAGCAGAGTTTAGCTGGGTGTGCCAGGCCACCGCCAGCATTCGCAGCATATCTGTCTACACGTGGGTGATGCTTCCAGCACAGGCTGCTCTGCGGACCGCCTTTACCATGGCACCCTCTCTGTGGTCACCGCCGTCGTGGGGCATGGGAGAACTCCTCTCTCCTGACCCCAGCCCCTGTGGACTCTGAGCCTTGCTACCTCAGCCTGTGGAGGGAGGTGGGTGCCCACCCCCGACCGCAGCTGCCTGCACCCAGGGGAGGGCCAAGGCCCAGGATCTCGCTTAGAAAGTAACCCCGGCACATGAGCCCTGGACGGAGGGTCTGGGGATGCTTGCCTCAGCCCCACAGAGGCTCCTGGGGGAGAGAAACACTTGATGGGTAAGGAGGGGTGGCAGTTGGGGAGGGGATCCCCCCTCCCCAAGAATCCGGAGGCCCCGGGGCCCCCTGGGCCACCTGCCCCTCAGGGACGGCAGCGCTCTCCAGGGCCGGGCACTACCCGGAGCGGGGCTGAAGCCGAGACTGCTTGCTTGAGGCTGCCTTCTGCTTGGGGCCAGCTGCTCAGGAAAGCACGAGGTGCCCTAGGGAGACGTTCACCCCACAGCCGGAAGCCAGGGTCACCCTGTGCTCAGGAGCAGTGAGAGGAGGCAGAGGCGTGAGAGCCACGGCCACCGCTGTCCTGACCCTGGGGTTCCCGGACTTGTCGTGTGATGAGGAAACCAGTAGAGCAGCCTTCCCTCTGGCGGTTGAAGGCAGAAGCTCAGAAGGGTAGCTTGGCCAAGGCCACCCAGGCTTAGCCGGAAGTCAGGTCTCCTCGATGGCCCTCTCACTCCCCTTTCTGCACAGCTTGATGCTGGCTCAGCCCTCCCGCCTCCTCCCCACCCCCCACTCCGCTCCCTCTGTGGGTACCAGGGCTCATTGCTTTTTAGCCTGGAAGCAGATGGCTGAGATCAGGTAGCGTGTGGGGGGCTGAGGCCTGGGAGCCAGGGCCAGGCAGCAGCCAGGTGGGTGTTGTCCCGAAGGCAGAGCCTGTTGCTGTCTCCAGTGTCCTCAGAATCTCAGGCTCCCTGTGGAGGAGCTGGGAAGCCTGCCAGTGCAAACTCCCTCTCAAGATGCCTGAAAGGCCAGGGATTCCCAGAGCTCAGAGCTTCTACCTGGGTTTCCTCAGCAAAGGCAGGAACAGGGAGGCCCATCAAACCAGAGCCTGCCCTCGAGGAAGCTGCTCACCTTTGGCCTGGAACCTCTGGCAGGAATCCATGCCCCCTGCAGCTCCGATGCTCCGCAGTGTCCGCAGGCCACCTCTGCGCTGCACGCACCCCCCGCCCCCGGTCCCAGCAGGTGCCACATGCTCCCCATGGCTCAGGGGAGAGCCCGCACCTCTCCAGTGTCTCTGACTTCTGCTTGGCTTCTGGGCCTCAGATGACTCAGACCCGCATCTTTCTTTCCCGCCACTTCGCTGATTGCTTTCCTGCCTCCGGTTTTGTCCTCTTGCTGCCGGGTGAGCGTCTGGCATACACGGGGCCCCGGGGCTCGTCTCTGGAAGCCGGTCCTACCTCTGTCCCCACCTCTGCTTGCCCTCCTGCAGTGTCACTGCTGTCCTTGCCTGTTTGCCTCTCTGCCCGCCCCGCAGCTGGGGGGCCTGGCTGGCAGAGGGGTCGGTCTCGTCCCCAGGCCTGGAGCAGCGTGCCTGCTGCATGGAGAGGCAACGGGGCAGCTGTGGTCGCAGGAGCGAGTCTGCCAGCTGAGAGCGCAGGCCTGGCCCCGGGGACGGCGTGCTCCCGCGGTGCCCACAGTCCTCTCCGGTGTTTGATGTGGGGTCGGTGTGGCTCCCTCAGCATCTGGACAGAGCAGGCTGTCCGGCCTCTGTTTCAAGCACTTTTTTTTTTTCTTGAGCGTATTTAAGGAAGGAAAGAAGGAAGAAAGGAAGAAGTGAGGGAGAGAGGGGAAAGGAAGGAAAAGAAATGGTTGAAGGATTGAAAGGAGGAAGGAGATGCATGTACTTCTAAGTTTCACTCTCCTGTCTCCCAGGGTTTCCTGTAGCTAGAAGGTTCCACATCTTGAGGCCACACATGGATCTCCTACGCCCTGGGTACTTTTGCTTTTGTGGGTTCCTTCTGCCATACAATAGTGTTAAAAATTGTTTCGTGACTGTGTATGTTGGTGTAAAGATGAACATAATCTGGTCTAGATTCATTATTTTATATTCATTTTGTTATGTTATATCATTTTTCCTTCTGATCTGAAGTTACAACATTTTGTCACCACCTCACAAACATTGTGCTCCCTGCAGCCATGGAGGTCTTGGGGTGGGGAGGGTCTCTGCGCCTCTTCTTCTAGGGGTTCACTTTCTTTCCCCGGAAGGGCAAGGGCATGGTGGGCGGTAGTCCCCCTCTCCCAGCTCTGAATGGAGTCAGAGAAAGAAAAAGCAGGCCCTGCAGGAGCTTGCTTGTCGATGCTGTGAATCTAGAAGCGTGGAAACAGGCGGCACCGAGAGACCTGCTAGAGAAATGTCCACCCTGCGTCCAGGCTCCTGGCCTCCACGGGGAGGCAGTCACCAGCGTCTCTTAACTGTACCCTGGACGAGTCACCTGCACCCCTGACCGCAAACCCTCCCCCAGGCTCTCCTGCCGAGGCTCCCAAAGCAGTTTGTGACAAGTTAAGAATCACTGCTGAGCCCAAACCACACACCACACGGGAAGAACCAAAGGTGGGAGCTGTTTTAAAGACCCTAGGGGGGCTTCCCTGGTGGCCCCATGGTGAAGAATCCACTGGCCAATACAGAAGACAAGGGTTCCATCCCTGATCTGGGTGGAACCCACATGCCGTAGGGCAGCTAAGCCCAGCTACAGAAGTGCAAGGGCCTTCCATGAGAGAAGCCGCCGTGATGGAGGCCCACGCATGTCCAGCTGGAGAGGTGCCTCCCTGCTGCAGCTGGAGAGAGTGCACAGCAACGAAGACCCAGGGAAGCTAGAAGGAAATAAGTAACGTGAAATAAAGACCCTTGGAAATAAAAAGTGTGTGGGGGGTGGGGGGGCAGCAGAGGGGATGAAAATCAAGTGTATTCAGACACATAACTTGCTTAGGTCTTATGATTTCTTCATTCAAATTACAGTTTCAAATCAGTCAATTCTGGTAGCATCTCCTGAGCTGGGCATTGGACATGTAAAAAGACTTCATAGAGAAGTAATTCCCTTTTCAGATCGATGTTCTGGATCAAAGGAAAGAGGATGTAAACTCCATGTACTCCAGAAGTGTACCCATAACTATGTGGTGTTCGGGTTTTTCTCTCCAGGAAGGGGACACTCATGTCAGCGTCCACCCATTCAGACATCTTCTGAGACACCCAGCAGGGGAGCAGGGGGTGGGGCCGTGTCCCTGCTGTGTTTGGATGGCCTGGAAATCAGACTCCCAGAGAGCTCCAATCCCTGGTTTTGTCAGTAGCTAAGCTCTATGCCTCTGGCACCCTCATCCCCGTTTCCAATTTAGAGATGACTAGCATTAGTTAAAAAAAAAAATTACTGGATAAAACAAGATTTTACCAGGCAAATCTCCAATTGCGTCATCTTTTGGTTTCAGGGAATAATTGCAAGTCCCAAACCAGCAATCCTTTTACCTAGAAACGAAGTCTGGCAAATCCAAAGAACTGGCGTGTTTCAACGAGAAGGATGCAACTTAACTCCACTTCTGTTTTCATTTTTGCAACATTTCCAAGGAATGAGGATGATAGGTATTCCAGCATAGGAAGCCCTTTTGGATGGAATCCTCTCCACGGAGGCTCCACACTAGGGTGACTGCCCGAGGCAGACTCCTGGGGACCCTCTCCCTCTTGTCCCACCTAGAGGCTGATGCTGCTGAGCCCAGAGGGTGCAGAGCGCCTGGTTCAGACCCCAACTGTGAGCCCCAAATTGGGTCACAGTCTAGTTGACTCCAGGGGCTGTTTCAGAAGATGATTCCAATGCCCCTTCACTCAGCCCAGTGAAGCAGCTACTTGAATCCACTTGCCCTGGAACAGAAGTGACTCCAGATGGACCTGGCTGAGCATCAGACACTCTGGGGCTTCGTGCCTGGGCCGCCACCCAGCAGTAGCCGACCTTGGTGAATTCTCATATGTAAATGGTGAAATGTAATGTAAAATGTACATGTAAGCGATGACACCACTCCCCGATTGTGGATCAGGCCCTTCTGGACCACGGAGCCAGCAGAGACCATGCCCAGCTGGGAACTGAACCAAACTGTCGGCATCACCCCAACCAGAAGCTTAGGACCTGGCCAGGAGTGAGGAGATGCATAGGCAAGGAAATCAGACTTTCCAAGAACCTCATTCCCAAGTCGGCAAGTTGACGAAGCTGTGGGAGAGGCAGCTTTTCTCTGGTTTAAGTTAATACATGTGTGTGAAGAATGAAATCTCAAGGTACATTATCAGTTACACCCTGATTGCTGCACAGACTTTGAAATGCACCTCCTTGTAGCCGACCATGGTCCAAGCATCACAAAGGAGCGCGCCTTCCCTGGATGTTGTACCGGCATGAGCTGGAGTCTGATTTCCTCCCACCTGCTCGTCTGTGTAAATGTTTTTTGATGTCTGAGGATGAGGTCACCAGGGTCCACCGCCATAATCATCTGCTGACATCTATATGGAGCGAGGCCAAAGCCATTGAAGGCCGTTTATTATGAATATTGCCATCTGGATGTATTTTGATAAAATAATTTTCTAATTTCCTTTGCCTCCAAAAATGGTAATTGTGATAAGTCATTCACTTGATTTTGTGATTTTCCATATTGGGTCACATGTCCACTGGAGCCTAGGGTGTTCAGGCCCACCCAAATCAGAAGAATTTGATCCAGAACAGGAAAGAGATGGAACATTACTGGAAAATCAGGGTGCTGCTTCCTGAAGAAGGTCAGAAGAGGGGCAGATGCTATTCAGGCAAGATCAAGAGGAGTCCCAGAAGTTGGCAAGAGGCAGGGCCCAATCCACCCCGATGGATGAGTCAAAACCTCTGGGGCAAATACTGTCATGCTGACTCCAAGGCCACGAGCTGTGTTCCCTCATCCACTTATTTAGCAGTCCTGCACCGAAAACAGACTGCGCCAGGACCTGGGCGAGATACTGTTGAGGGTGCAGAGCAAGCCAGATGTGGCCCTGCTTCTCAAGTATCTGAATTCCTACTTGGCTCAGACTGCTACTCCTATCGTGAGCCCTGAGCCAGGAGTGAAATGACACCTGCCTTCCGGCTGGAATCGCCTGCTCTCTTTCTAGCAGAAAGGGATGCAGAAACCTGTCCATCACAGAGAAGGCATCTGATACTCACTGAGATAACATATCGTCCTTGTGACTCACGGGGAAAGGCAGTTTCGAAGACAGTGCACATGCTGGTCCTCATCACAGGGGCAGGGCCAAGGCTGGCAACACAGGGAACTTGCTGGCTCATGTGTCCAGGGCCGCACCTGCCCCAAGGTCGGCAGCGGGGGGAGCAGCCAGCAGCGAGTGAGCGTCTGCTGGGGGATTCCCTAGACTGCTTCAGTTTTTAGTTCCCTTCCTGCCAGTCATGTTTGATTAAAAAAATCAAATTTTTTCTTCCAATGAACTTATTCATGCTCTTTGAACTTGGAGATGGAAAAATCAAAGTCAGATTTTGCAAGTTTCCCAAGAAGTTTCCCAGGAGCTCCTGACCTACTTTGGGGGAAAGCAATTCTTGTCGGAAGTACAAACAAGGGGACCATTTGCAGAGGTTTTGCACAGGAGTCGTTGGAGCATTCTGGAGGCTGGGGACCTGGGGCCCCTCTGAACATCAGTGCTTGGGCAATCCTGTCCTGCCCAGCCCCAGAGCGGGGTTTTACCTGCGTGGTGTCCAGAGCAACACTGAGTTCTCAGGTGGGACCTGCCAGGTCACTCACCTCCCGCCTTGCTCCCACACCTCTCCATGGCTCCAGCACTGCCCTCAGCTCTCACCAGCCTGAGTAAGGGGACCCTGGGGGAGCTCCTCATGTGGAAATGGGTCTCCCATGCATCTTGGTCCTCAGTCCTGGCAACTGGTTACCTTGCTGCCAGCCAAGTAGCTGGGTCTTTGTGTGGGAACCCCTGCTTGAATAATCTCCCTGTTCCCCCAGATCTGCCTGCCCTGCCCTCACCCCTACCTCCTGTCCCAGCCCCGGGAGCTGGAGGTGGCTCCCACCACCGTTCCGTTCAGAGCCTTGCCCGCTATGCCTGTGACACAAGAGGGCTCTGACGCAGCCTGTTCTCGGATGCCTCTGGGGCACACCCTCCTTCTCCCAGCTCCCTCCTGCGTCCCAAGGCCAGAGCTGGAGACCTGACCTCCTTCCTGCAGGCTATCCCCATTAGACTTTTGTCATCC